GCGGCAGGAGGTCACTTGAGCAGGAGTTGAGGTTGCTGTAGCCAGCTGACGCACACTCGACTCTACCTGGCCAACAACAAGACTCTGGTGTCTCAAAAAAAAAAAAAAAAAAAAAAGAACCGGGGCGGAGGGTGCGGGGTCCACGTAAACAGGGAATGCAAATGGCGCGGGGCCGGGCTGCGCTTACCCCAGCGGGGACTACCGGCTCTTTCCGGGGGGACGGGGGGAAAACCCACCCCCCCACCACCCCGAGCCCATCCTTCCAACTCTGTGGGGAGGAGGGAGGGGATGGGTTCCAACGGCACGGGGTTCTCCGTGGGCGGCTTGTCCTACACAACAGGCACACACACGCACCACACACCACGGGGCTCGGGAGGCCCCACTCTCCGGTCGGGCGTCTGGGGTTTCCACCTTTCCAAGTTCAGGCTCCCAGCCCGGCAGAACGGCGGACGCCTCTTCTATCTTGCTTTTTCCCACCATCTCGGGAGGGAAGGCTTGCCTTCAGAGACTCCAGGCGCCTGGAAGGTCACTGGTGATGACCGTCATGACCTCGCCGAAACGTGCCCCACCAGCTGGGGTGGTCCACGGTTGAGCGTGGCAGCCAGCCCGGCCGGCACGTAGGCCTAACGACTGGCTGGGCATTACTACCACTGTGTTGTCCACTACCGTGCATCTGTGGTCCACTACACTGTTGTATGCGGTGCCCATTCCTCGCGACCCCCTCCAGGGCAGGACATTAGGATAATACCATTTTGTTTCCTTCTGTATTTCTAAGTCTCTCGAATGAACCCACTTGTCTTGTTAGGGGGTTAAAAAAAAACAAAAGACAGACCAATGTTTTTTGTCTGTTTTTTCTTTTTTGAGCAGAGGGTCTGCTTTGTTGTCCAGGTTAGGAGTGAGAGCCGTGGCGTGCGCTAGGCTCACAGAACGCCTCGGACCCTGGGCTCAAGCGATCTCCCTGCCTCAGCAGCTCCGGGAGTAGAGCTTGCGACTACAGGGCATCGGCTCCACATGCCTGTAAAAAAAAAATTTGTTTCTCAGTATATACGTATTTGGCCATTAGTTTCTTTCTAGTTTTTGTAGGACGGGGCCCCCGCCGGCTGCGTCGAACCGACCTCGTGGTGTCCCCCCCGCCTCGCCCCTCCCAGGGCGGATTACAGGCGGGAGCCACTGGGCCAAAGGGCGCCCAATTTATTTTTTGAGACAGAGTCCTGGGTTGGCCCGCAGGCTTAGAGGGTGGAGTTGCCGTGGCGTCGAGCCTAGCTCACAGCAACCTCAACTCCTGGGCAGCGATCCTTCCTTCCTCAGCCTCCCGAGGTAGCTGGGACTACAGGCATGTGGCCACCATGCCCGGCCTAATGTTGTTTCCAGCCTGATAATATTAGTGGGCCAATTTAATTTCTTCTGTTTTTTTTGTCTTTCTAGTTTTATAGCATGAGACTGGCGGGGTATTCTCGGCTCGGTTGCTCGCGGGGCTGGTTTTCGGAACTCCTGACCTGAGCTCTCCCCTCGCGCCTCTGGCTCCCAGAGAGCCTAGCGCCATGTACAGCCTGTGAGCTCGCGCCCGGGCAGGAGGGCACACGCTTTAAAATTAAAAACAAAGGAGGCAGGATCCGCGGATCGGGGGGCTTCCCTGGCGCCAGCCTCCCGCGTCCGGACTGGCCCGGGGTTAGCAAGCCGCACGGGGACGCGCCGCTGTGGGAGATTCCAGGGGACGGCGGGAAAAGGCCCAGGAGGCCCCCCCTACCTCTGGGCGGTCGTCATGATGGCGTCCACGACCTCGATGATGCGGTGCAGGGCCGAGTCCGTGCCGATGGTCATGTCCGTGCCGCAGAAGTCGTTGTCGATGGAGCCCACCATGGCCACCAGTTGGAGGTGTCGGGCATTGTGCACCTCCTCTGCCCGATCTGGGCCTGCGCGGGGCGGCGGCGGCAAGTCTCAGAGCGGCGCCAGACACGCCCCGCGCCGCCCCCGACTCTCCCCCTCGCTGTCCTCTTAATCCGCGCAGGACCCGCGCGCGACCTCTCTGTGTAGTGAAGGAAAGCAGAGCCAAAGGCGGGGGCCGTCAACGCGAGCCATGAGCCGGCGTCCCGCAACCAGGCGAGAGCAGCGGGTGACACGGATCGTTAAAAACAAAAGGGAGGGTCCGCGGGTTGCAGTCGCTGCATAAAAATCTCGGTGTTGCCGTGTTTCCCCGAAGATAAGACGGGGTCTTCTATTTATTTTTCCTCAAGAAGACGCCCTAGGGCTTGTTTTCAGGGGATGCGTTACTTTTTTTTTTTTAAGTGCGGTACAACCGTCTGCATTTATTCAAATAGAGTTGAGTCGTCTTCTTCTGGAACATCATCATCACTCTCCAGACCCCCGGAATCCCATCCTGAATGTCTTGCGACTCTATTTTCCTTTAGAACCGTTGGCCCCGATCTCTCATGTCGAGCAACAGAGCTCTCACGGGGCAGATGAGAAGGGCTGCTCGTCTTCTTTCCCGCTCCGCGGCGACACGCATGGGTTGTGCAGACGCGCTGCGCAGCCACGCCCGTCACTAGGGCTTATTTTCGGGGTGGGGCTTCTATGGCGCACATGCTTAGAAATCCTGCTAGGGCTTATTTCATGGGTAGGTCTTGTTTTCGGGGAAACACGGTACCCTGGCAACGGCCGCAGAGAATGACGGGGCTCTGGAAAGGACTGGTGACAATCACAGAATTAAGGACCCTAAGATCCTGCATCACCTCCTTGTTGGATTTCTCGTGGATCTGCAGGGAGCTGGTCTGTGGTCGGATTCTACCTGCCTCGCTCAGGACAGGGCTGGGCGGGGCAGTTCTGCATAAAGGCAGGCAGCGAGGCCACAGGGCGAACGTGGCCCTGGGCTGTGGCCCCCGCCCTGTCGTGTGCTGCACGTGGGCTGGTGTTCGGCCAGAACAAGGTAGACCAGGGGAGACCAGAAGGCCCCCCC